CTGTTCATTCATAAGGTTTTCCCTGGCCAATTCTTTGAGAAGTAGATGGCCTCTTCCTTCTTCCTAGTCTGTCTCAGTCTGTAAGCTGGGCTGATATCTGTGCACCATGTGCATCCTGCTGGGTTTGAAACACCAGTGGCTCAGCCCCAAAACTCACATCCACACGTCACCATGCTAGAACAAACCGACAGACAAGTTTGTCTCCCTGTTGGAAACCTCTCATACCACCCTTACCTGGGTCCCTGTGGCTGACTCGATTGGGAAGTAGATTGCCCTATCTTCCTTCCACAGAGCAACTGGTGGGTTTGAACTGCCAACCTTCTGGTTACCAATTAAATGCCTTAGGTACTATGCCACCAAAACTTCTTTAGACAAACACAGTCTCTGCCAAAACCGTGATCCCATCCAGCACATGTGGGTTAGGGGTAGACTTAGCACAAGGTGGGGTAGAAGTATCCTGCATAGGGATGATCAGTACATTCCTTTATTTTTGTTTTTGTTTTTTTGTTTAATAGCCATATTGAGATATAGTGCACATACCATACCCATTTAAAGTGTACAATTCTGTGGTATTCAGTATATTCACAGAATTGTGCAACCAATACCACATCAACTTTAGAACAAATGGTTTTCAAATTTGAAAGTTGTTCACTGTGTTGGTTATTGTCCATTTGTATTTTCAGATCCATTCTCTGCCCAGCTCTGTATGCCCTGGGAGGCTAATCCTTATGGACAGCACCCCCCACCCCAGACTCCTTTGCTCTCTAGTTCCAGTCTGGATTTGGCTGATGAGCAGAATAGATAAATCAGGGAGTGAAAGCAGGATACTTATACCCCACCTTGTGCTAAGCCTACCCCTAACCCACATATGCTGGATGGGATCATGTTTTTGGCAGAGACTGTGTTTGTCTAAAGGAGCTTTGGTGGCATAGTACCTAAGGCATTTGATAGGTAACCAGAAGGTTGGCAGTTCAAACCCACCAGTTGCTCTGTGCAAGGAAGATAGGGCAATCTACTTTCCTAAAGATTTACTGCCTTAGAAACCCAGTGGGGTCACTAAGAGTTGGAATCAACTTGATGGCAGTGAGTTGTGTTCCTCTATTTATTGCTACAGCTCTGGAGGTGTGGCCCCTCTCCCAGGCTACACTGCTTTGGTCTGGTGATCCTTCCCTCCCTCCCTCCCATGTTCAGGACAAGGGTGGTAATGACTTTTCTGTTGCTAGTCTCTGATTGTCACACAATCATTCTTTTTTTTTTTTTCTCCATTCTGCTCTCACCACTTCCACTGAGTCAATTCCAACTCATAGTGACCCTATATAACAAAGTAGAACTGCCCCATAGGGTTTCCAAGGTTGCAAATCTTTACGGGAACAGATTGCATCTTTCTCCCACAGAGCGGCTGATGGGTTTGAACCACCGAATGTTTTAATCACTGTGCCATGAGTCATCCTGCTCATATTGGTATTAACAGTCCTTTCATTAGGTGTTCTCAATCCTTTTGGATATGCCCTCTTCTTTCCTACTGCAACAGCAGTAGGTTCACGAACTACTTCATTTGAAAAGCAGTAACAGTCTGAGGCCCAAACACACCTAGATCTATAGTCTGGATCCAGTCTGAGGGAATACAGTTTGCAACCTCTGATGCATGCTGAAAGCACTATGCACAGACTAGCCCAGTAGAACTGAAAGTGCCACACAAACCAGCACAATACTAGGGACAGCAGGAACATAGTAAGCCCATGTTGCCTCAAGAAGCAACCCCCAAAAAGAAAGGAGTCATGAGATGTGTCCATCCAGTTTAATGACTGATGAAACCACGCAAATGTCAAACTATGGAGCACTAGGGATGCGAAAGGCATGAAGGGCTTGGCGGGAAAACACTACAATATTATCAGGGGAGAACTAGGGGATCACTAATGTTGACAGAGGAAGGGAAAGTCCACTGGCAGCTCAGGCCTGTGACATATACTTGGGGAAGCATGCATTCCATCCCTAAAGTTGCAGCTAGCCGGCTGCCTTCATTCTCGAACATAAATTCTCGTGCAGACCACATCATCGGCGCCGAACGTCTGCAGAGAAGAAAAGGAAAACCAATCAGTGCTGATGCCTGTGCAAAAATGTTTAAAGCATATCGCTAATAAGGGCACTTCCTGCCCTGTTAAAAACTCTTTGTAACATTCAATTTCCTGTGCTGTTCACTCATTCTAAGCAGTAAGGTTTTTGTTTTTATTTTTTTCTCTTAAGTTTCATATTGCCAGAGAGGTAACTAGGGTATAGAATTATGTTGTATGTAGTTTTCCTTTGCTTCTGGAACCTGTGAAGTCTGACATAAGAGATGCAAGTTTCTTGGCTTTGGTTTTGAAATTGAACATGAAAACGGGAAAATGTCACATTGGACATTTCTGAAGTGGTTCTGTTTCTCTTCAAATGACTTTAAGAGAGCAAGGGGCTTGGGTTGCTGGAGCCACGGTGTCCAGAGCTCACCAACCAGATGGGGTTGCTCGGGAGGCTGTAGAACTGCTTTCCAGGAAGCAGCAGTTCAGCCTGGAAGAGAGCCTGAGATGTTGTATAAGTAATACTCCAATCACCTGCAAGCCCAGAAAATTGGTCTCAGCTGCAAAAGCACAGCATTGGCTTTAGACCAAGCTCTTCAATCCACAGGCTGGGTGGTGGGGTTAGGTGCTGGCTGTCAAGACAATTCTGACTCATAGTGACCCCCATGTGACAGAGTAGACCTGCCCCATAGGGTTTTCTAGGCTGTACTCTTTTACAGGTGCAGATTGCTAGCCTTTCTCCCACAGAGCCAATGGGTAGATTTGAACCACCAACCTTTTGGTTAGAAGCCAAACACTTAATTGTTGCACTACCAGGTAAGCTTGGGCAAGGCTCTTCCTTTCTTGGCCTATTGGGGATGGTGGTGGGGTGGAGGAGGAGGAGGAGAAAGAGGAGGAAGAGGGGGAACAGCAGCAGGTGCTGCTGCTGCTGTTGTGGGGGGGTATGGGGGGGGAATTAAACAAGATGATCACAAAGCCTCTTTCCAGGTAAAATTCTATGGCTTTTGTTTGTTTATTTGCTGTGGGGAGTGTGAGAATGGACATTTTACTAGGAGAAGGAGGGTATGCATCATTCCATAGATGGAAGAATATGTTTTTCTGCTGGCCCCAGAAATTATACTGCCCATAAGTAAACTGTCTCATGTCTTCCAAACACTAGCAATTATTCCTAGGCTTGCTCTCTCGGGCTTCTCACAGGCAGTTGCAACATCAAAAAAACTGACTGCCATGGAATAGGATCCGACTCATAGCGACCCCTCCTTGGGTTTCTGAGGCAGTATCACTATGGAAGTAAATTGCCCAATCATCCTTCCGAGGAGTCACTTGTGGGTTTGAACTGCCAGCATTCTAGTTAGCAGTCAAATGCCTTAGGCACTACGCCACCAGAGCTCCCTGCAACATATATATATATGGGGGGAACCCACAAATTCCTAGTCTGTAGACCTGACGTGAGTATATTTGTTTGCAGATGTACATTTTTTTCTGCAGGAGGGTCCTATTTTTTAGATCCTCAAACTGGCCAGAGACTGAAGAGAGGTTACAACCACTGAATTGAGAGCTTAGGTGTCCTAGGATCTTCAGATCTTTACCCCTGGAGCTCTCTGTTGGTTATGAGATGCTCTCAGAGAATGTCTGCTTGAACATTGTTCCAACACCTGTGTTTCAGGGAAATACTTAATAGTAAAACAAACAAACAAACCTCACTGCCATTGAGTCAATTCCAACTCACAGCCACACTCATCAGGTTTCCAAGGCTATAAATCTTTACAGAAGCAGACTGCCTCATCTTTCTTCCACAGAGTGGCTGGTGGGTTTGAACAACTGACCTTTTGGTTAGCAGCCAAATGCCTTAACCATTATACCATCAGAGCTCCTTTGGTGATTATTAAGGAAGCAAACGCTCATTACCAGCTTCTTCTCAAACTAGGGAACTTCTGATCAGACTGATGCAGTTGTCCGTGCTTTTGAACACCCTCTGTGTCCCATCCTCTTCTGCTTTTAGTGAGAAATGCAGATGATTCCATAAGCTGTGTGTGTGGGTGTGGGTGTGTGGGGGTAATGCGTTGGAGAGGGTTGTCTCACTGTGTATATTCACCTCTCAGATGTCTGGACCCCAGAACCATGTTAGTTTTCTAGAACTCTTCGAGTTCTACAGTTGTAGGGTGTCAGGTGGAATGCTGAAAGTTTGGGGTTCAACTCTACCCATGCTGTAACCACAATAGCTATCCAGCACTTCACACAGGCCAACATATAGCTTCATGACATGAGAAGAAATTGCCACATGTCCAGCTACATTTGAAATGCCCTTTTCAGCCTGGAAACAATGCACTTTTTTGTTGTGAGACGCTGAGGAGCTGATTCCAACTGAGATCCCATGTGAGAGAGCACAACTGCTCTATAACGTTTTCTAGGCTGTAAACTTTATGGCAGCAGAATGCCAGGTCTTTCTCCCAGAGAGTCACTAAGCGGGTTCCAACCACCAACCTTTTGGTTAGTAGCTGAGTGCTTAAAAGTTGAGCTACTCAAACTCCTTGCAACCAATGCAGAGGTTACCCAAAGAAACTCTCTGTAGAATGTTCCAGAGTAGTTTGAGGATTATACTCAGTTTTCAAAGGAAGGCAACTTACAGCCTAGAGGCAATTTACTGTTGGCTCTAGGAGAACTTATTTCAACTTTACTAGCATAATTTGCCTCTTGTTATTTGGTGATAGCATCTCTCTAAATTCTGGATTTGTTAATGATAATAACCCTTGAAACAAAAGCCCACGTTTCAGATCCCAAATGCCAAAAATTAATGCTCCCTGGAGAGTGTATCCAAGATCATATACAGGGTTGGCAGAAAATGGGCCTCTCGAAGAGTATGAAGGGATGGACACTGGGAGGAGGTAACTATGGGGAGGAAGTGGGAGGGGAGCTGCTGCATTGTAAATTTTGGTCAATGACATGAGACAAAGTATATGTGAACTGCTGTATGAAAAGTGAATTTACTCTGTAAATCTTCACCCAAATCCTAATAAAAAAAAAAAAAAAGAAAGAAAAAATTAATGCTCCCTTTGGGACTTATATATAGGTTTGCTGAGCCAGGAAAGGATGCTCGGGTGGAATTGTAATTGGAGGGGGAGGGAGATTGGGAAACATTGAGTCCTCCTAGCAGAATTTGGCCTATGATACTGGCTGCTTGGATGCTATGGAGGTTAATAAAATCACACACTTTGTCACAGAGCAAATTGATCTTACTTAACCCTCCACTACACTCCAGAACTCTCAAATCGCCTCCCTTTTTTGCCGTCTCTGACGACAATGAACCATATGTGCCTTTTTGTCCGACATTTCCCTTGTCTCAGCCTCAAATTGCTCCCCAACCCCCATCAAACACTCCTTCCCGAGCAAGGATGTTAACCAGGTTGCAAATTAAGCCAGTCCTTTCTCTGAGAGAGGAGAAAGCATGTTAAATCATCCCAGGAAAGGACAAGAGGAGAGAGAAATCAAGCAGCCCCAGTTAAAGTAATAGAGTCAATTTAGGGTCTACTTGCAGAATAACTCATATGCTGAGTTGCTATGAGTTGGAGTCAACTTTATGACAATGGGGTTTTGTTTTTGCAGAATAAACTTGTAATTTCAGGGCTCAGAAGGACATCGGGGATCAGACTTTAGCTCAACCCCTCATTTTACAGCAGGGGCGCGGTGTTTGGTAAGGGAGGGGCCGTGCCCAGTTCACATAGCGAGTTCTTTCTCACAATGCCTCGCCATCTCCTATCCCCAGCCACATTTCAGCATGAATATTCACTAAGATGGGGCAGACTGGCAGGCTTAGAGGGGAATTGCTAACAAAATGCCTGATGGAGAACAAAAGATTCCTGGTTACTCACAACAGCTTTTCCCTTTTCTAGTCTAAGGGAAAGGAGCTCTGGTAGCACAATGCCTAAGGTATCTGACTGCTAGAAGGAAAGCTAGTGGTTCAAACCCACCAGCCACTCCACAGAAGAAAGACTGGGCAATCCACTTCCGCAAAGTCTTACTGCCTCAGAAACCCAATGGGGGTTGCTATGAGTTGGAATTGACTCAAGAGCAGTGGGTTGGTTTGGTTTGCTTAGTCTTAGGGGGGAAAAATGTGGCTGTAAGGAAAGCTTTGGTCTCTTCTGAAAGACAAACCCATTGCTGCTGAGACAATTCTGATTCATAATGACCCTGTAGGACAGAGTAGAACTGCCCCATGAGGCTGTAAATCTTTCCAGAAGCGGACTATCATATCTTTCTCCTGCAGAGGGGATGATGGGGTTGAACTGCCTAAACTGCTGAGCGCTATAACCACTGTGCCACTAGGGCTCCTTCTGAAAGATAAAACAAAGAGTGATCTGGAGGTTGTCCTGTTCTCCAACCTTCCTTTACTCCCGTTCCTAAAAGGAGTGGGGGGCACGGTTAAACTACCAAAAACCAGTTGCTCTCGAGTCAATTGTGGCTCATGGTGACCTGAGTGTTGTAGTTTAGAACTGTGTTCTATAGCGTTAAACTACAGTGGTTTCTAACTTGGCCTTACTGAGAGGTTTTGTTTGGTCAGAGATGTTCAAAATGTTAAAATCTTTAAATTAAAGCCCTCCATCCACCAGTTCTAAAGGCTTCATGCCTCCACTTTGTGTAATGTTGAGACACTTCCCAATTTAGTATTTGCCTGCATCCCCAAGGCCATTGGAGATTGTAAATTCTGGGGTACATGTTCTCTAAGGCTCCAACTGCTGCCATGCTAAAATTACTGAAACCTTTCCCAGCCAGTAAAATGGGGAATGAGAAGGAAAAAAAAATTCCTTCTGTAATGTGAACCCTGAGCCTCACAGAGTCTGAGCATTTTGAGCCCAGCCAAGGAGGGGTCGCTATGACTTGGGTCCAACTTGACAGCACATAACAACAACAACAGAGAGGAGGTTTGCTTAAAGCAAGTCACCACTGGGATTTATCAGTTCAGATAGTTGCAGGCACACCAGCCTATGTCTCGAGGCCCTTCTAAACCACTCCTCCCTCAGGCCAATCATTTCTGACCTAAACTGTCATCTTGGACTTTCTACTCAAATTTTAACACAGGACTTATGGTGTCTGTCTCTCCCTGAATGGGTAAGCAAGGATGACATGTTTGAGTGGCCCACCATGGGCATCATCTAGGGAATTGGTGGCTTGCTTCAGGATCAAAGGGCTCTCACCAGGATGAGCTCGTTGTTGGCCAGCTCGCGGGTCCAGTAGGTTTTGGGGCCGTCCCCCTCAAGGAGAGTTTGTGTGCAGTGGATCTTGTTCTCATTCTCCCAAGTGGCTAAACTCTGTGGGCAGGGAAACCATTAGCGACATTAATTACAGTCTCCACAGCGGGAGCAGAGACAACAATGAGCACCCTGAGAGTAATTGCTGTGCAGAGAAGCAACACATGGTCCCTGTCAGCAGGGCACAGAGTCTTCTCTGATGAGCCTTATAAAGTCCAAATTCAGAGCTGGTCATGGATTTTATGGGGTATAAATACACCTTGTATACACACACTTAACAAAGCAGCAAAGCCTTAGGCATGATTTACATCTCTAGGAATAAAACTCAGAAATGCAATGACCCATTTATGTTAAAATAGATTACCCCCTTCAAGAGATTTTGATTTTAAAAGCAAGAACCTTTACAATAGAACCACAAAATTTTAGAACAGTTAAGACACCACGTTTGCAATCATATTCATAATCAATGGATCAGGGGCACTGTTCCCTGCATAGATTTTGGGGAAATGCCTTCTTTTCTGTTTGCACTTATCAGACATAGGACACAGCCTGCTCTGACAAACCTGAGTGTTTCTGGCTCTGAGGATAAAAACACTACCACTTTCCAGGTTACCTCCTTCCAGGGGGAAAAAAAAAAAAAAAATCAAACTGATCTGAAGGGTATGTTGACCAAAGTGGGAGGTGAAGATGGATTCTCTGTGGCGGTTTTCTACACAAAAGAGCACCGTTCAGGTGGACTGGGTAGCCCAGTACAGATGTGCACATAATTGTTTTTAACTAATACGTGGGAGACCTTCATTAGGTAGGGGGTGTGTGTGTGTGTATGTGTGTGTGTGTGTGGAGACGTGGATAAATAAAGTTCTATTTTCCATGCTGTCCTGTGAAAACACTGCCTTTTTCTTTCTTTCTTTCTTTTAAATCAGAATTGCCCTTCCTGGCAGTAGCCACCATGATATGTCCCTGTGTTGAGCCCTATCTATTGTCAAACCTCCCTTAGACTCCCAGGGAGGAGTGGATCTGTTTTAAAGCCCAGTTTTAACACTCTAACTATGTACTCCTACTCTTTTATTTTTGCAAAGAATGCAGTGACTTGGATCCCAGATCCTACTTCCTCCAAGCCTGGACAACAGTTTCAGGTCATGCCAGTTCTGGGAGCCAAATATTACCGCATGGGTCAGCATGTTCCTGGAGAACTGTATCTGTGTCCTCCCAAGCCCAGTGCCCAGAGATTCCCAGTCTATAGATAAGACAGGCTCCACTCAGGAAAGGTGAAAGAAACAATGACTTTTTCTTTTTTAAACATTGGAGAAATGAAGGGAGACATTCCATCACCTTTCAAATAAGTAGTAGCAGCCACTACTTTCCCATCTGTCCTGTACATACAGGACTGGACCAAATGCAATTTTTGCCCAAGACAAAAAGGAATGCACCACCCTTTGCTTTAGCCCACTCACTCAGCCCTGGGACCAATACACAGAGAAATACAAAATTCCTGCCTTTGAGGACTAAGAGATATTACTTGGTTGATTTTCCAAGCCAGAACATGCTTTGTTTTTGGTAGGATTTCGTCTTTCCTTTAAGGAACCAGGCTGAGGGCGGGAGGTGCCCGGGCCATCGGGATTGCTGAAACTGGATGCAGAGCGTTCCCAGGGGGCCCTGGCACCCGAGGGGCGGGACACGGGAGCTGCAGCTCCACCTGCAACAGGAAACGTGGCAGCGCCGCGGCCGGTGAATACAGTGGCCCCTGCAACTCTTCCTCCCGCGCCGCCTGTACTTTCGCGGTAGGCGCAGCAAAGCGCTGCAGAACCCACCTCTGGATTGCGGGGCAATCCAGAGATCGAGCTTTGAGCTCCGCAGTTAGCATCTCAGGTGGTAGCTTAGGGATGGGATTGGGTAGGACTTTCTCCGGAGCCAAGGACACTCTGGCTGCACAAACCCTGTGCCCAGGCACACGCCTTGTAAGGAAAGCGCGCCACAGACAGCAAAGGACAGTTTATGGGTTCATCCGGCTGCAGCAAAGGAGCAAGGATTGCAGGACCCGGGTTGTCCGAGCTCTAGGGCCTTACCCTGCATTTGCGCCCATCTACCGTCTCCTCCTCGAAGCCTTCTCCGACCTTGAAGTTGATCTCGGTGGTGCGCACCGTGGTGGACGTCTTGATGTAGAACTGGTCCCCGTCCTGTCGGATTTCCACGTGCGGCTTGGACGCAGCCGCCACCGCCACCTTCCTCAGCATGGCGTTCACACCTGCTCCGGGACAGATAGGTGCGCCGCAGGCTGGGTTTTCAAACCTCCCCACCAGCCCGACATCCAAGGACCAACCAGCTCTTTTCAAACCTCTGACCATAAATAGGGCCGTAAATCTGATCCACTCCTCCCTGCCCTCGCCCTGATTTTCGAGACGACAAATTGAGGCTCAGGGAGGGTAAGTGGCTTTCCCTAAATTGCACAGTGAATTCATGTTAGAGCAGGGTCTCAAATTGGGTCCCCAAATTTAAAGTCCTTGATCTTCCTTGAATTGGGGTAATAACAACCTCTCCTGATGATGATCTAGCACTGTATAAAGACCGAACCGTCGGGGAAGAACCAAGCACCCAGCAAACGTTCGCTGGACGCGTGGGTCTCTGGCTCTACTCGCTGCTCCGAAACTGTTGTGCCTTGGAGTTCGCCCCGCTCTATAGCTCCGGGTACTCCCTCCTAATTGGGACTGGTCCCCAACGACCACAGCCTCCCGGCACTAGTCACCCAGCCACTTCCTCGAGTCGGGGCGCGCCATTCGCTCCAGCTTACCCAACGCCTTGAGTAGCTCGTCGAAATTCTCACTGCTGCGCATCTTCCAGGTGCCGGCGAAGTTGGGCATGGTGGCGGTGGCTGCGGAAAGGAGGGCTCAGGCACGGATAGCTACAGCGCAGTGGGAGCACTCAGAGCTGCAAGGCGGAGACTGACTCTCTGCGCCCAGCCCCACGCGGCTTCAGTCACTGGGCTAGCGCCCCGCCCCACCCTGCTGGCCCCGCCCCCGCCCCCGCCCCCCGCAGCCCCAGCCCCTTATGAGCCTGGCTCGTCGCCCCACGGTGCCCCCACCCGCCCCTCCGCGCGTCTGCCTTCTACAGCATAGAACCCTCTACTCTACAACTGCAAGACAAGGGTGCCCTGTCTATGCCCTCTGTCACCTCCAGGCCACTCACATCTCTCTTTAAAGTGGGTGGTGGGAGACAGAGGAAACAAAATTGGACAGGAAAGGATAATTATTGAAACTGGGTGGTGGAACCATAGGGGATCATGATACCATTCTCCCTACTTTGGTATCTGTTTTAAAATATCCATAGCACAAAGTTAAAATAAAGTGGAAAAGGAGGTCATCAGGGCATGGGAGCTGCTCCCTCCCCATTCCTGGTTTTGCCTTCTAGGGGTGCCAGGCCTTCCTCCTCCCCTTCTAGTCTGGAGTTCTATTCTGTAACCCCACCCCTACCCCTACAGGACCGTGGGAGCCAGTGGCAGGAAGGTCCCAACCCCACGACATCGGTTGTGGTACCGCTGGCAGAAACAGGGTCACACTAGATTGTTCAACCTTAGCTGTGTTCTCAGAGCAGGAGGGCACCCAAGTCCCAGTTCCTTTGTCTATAGCTCCGTCCACACTGACTGTGGATCAGGAGAGGCAGACTAAATGAGCTCCAGAACCAGGGCAGGTGCAATCTGTTTTGCAGAGAAGTGGGGCTTTGCATTCTCTGGGTAGGCTGCCTCGGAGGGCCCAGTGCAGGAAGCCTTTGCTCCCAGATATTTACCATCCCTAATGTCTCCTCATGGAGCTCTGGTAGCGTAGTGGCTAAGGCACTTGACTGCTAACCAGAAGGCTGGCGGTTCAAACCCACCAGCCACTCCTCGGAAGGAAGGTTGGGCATTCCTACTTCCGTAGTGATACTGCCTCGGAAACCCAAGGAGGGGTCGCTATGAGTCGGGGCCGACTAGACGGCAAATAACAACAACAACAATGTCTCCTCAGTGTCTCCTCTAACAAAGTATAGCACTTCATTGGTGCCCTTACAGCTCTCCACAGACCTTACACTGCTATAGCCTCTCAGCTTGTCCCTGGAATGCCCGTTTCCTCCTCTGGTTAATAAAATCTTGCCCCTTCATAAAAGCCCATCTTACTTCTATCATTTTTGTGAAATTCATTTTTCTGATTAAAGTGATTATTCTTCTCCAAACCCACAGGATCTTTGATCCCACTCTTATTCAAGTCTTCTTGTTGTTGTTACATGCCGTCAAGTCAGACCGACTCATAGCAACCCTTCCTTGGGTTTCCGAAGCAGATCACTATGGAAGTAGATTGCCCAACCTTCCTTCTGAGGAGTGGCTGGTAGGTTTGAACCGCTAGCCTCCTGGTTAGCAGTCAAAGTCTTAGCCCTACTATAAACTGTGAGTTCCTGGGGCACAGAGATTGAGTTGGGGGCCCCCTGGGTGGTGCAAATGGTTAAGTGCTCTGCTACTAACTGAAAGGCTGGCAGTTCGAGTCCACCCAGAGATTCCTCAGAGTTAAGACTTTGTGATTTACTTCTGAAAGATCAGCCATGGAAAACCCCACGGAGCATAGTTCTAATCTGACATAGATGGAGTTGCCATGAGTCAGAATTGACTAGAAGGACTCTGGTGGGTGTTTTGTCTGTTTTTAGTGATTAAATCTTGTCCTCCCTTCCTCAGGCTTAGGTAGGTGGGGCTCAATAAATAGGCATCTATTTGAGAAGGATGTAAGTTGTCCAGAGTCCCGGGGCATTATGGGGGATGAAGACCCACCAGAAGCTAGAGAAATCTGTGTTGAATGCCTGCTGAACTGGGCCCTGATTTTCTGGAGGTGGCTGGGGCAGGGCTGCTGTCCTGAGGCCCTGAGGCCCTGAGGGGATGTATCAGAAAGTAGCAGAGTGAAGGAGAAGGCAGAGGGGCCATCACCAGCTGGGAAGGAGTGTGGGCAGAGCTAGCTTTGTGGACAAGGGCCCTGCACTTAGAAGCTTAGCAGTTTGTTGATTGCTCTGCTATTGCTATCCTGAAGTTCTTACTAATTTTTGAACCGGGGGTCCTGCATTTTCATTTTTGCAATGAGATCTGCTAATTAGGCAGCTGGTAGAGGACAAGGGCTGCCACAGAATCAAATTCACTTGGTGGGAAAGAGGGTGGAGCTGGTGTCTCTATGGTAAGGGGTAAAGCAGGGGTGACTTCCTGCTAGAGCAAGCTTTGGCCTCCACCCATCAATTTTCCTTCTAAAAATGTGGTCACCTGTCAAGCTCAATTGGCCTAACATAATACACAAAAACATTGATCTACATCCTCCTTTGATGAGTAGCTCCTGGGGTCTTAAAAGCTTGCAAGTAGCTATTTAAGATGCCACAATTGGTCTCTCCTCATCCAGAGCAAAGAAGAGTGAAGAAAATCAAAGACACATGGAAACAGTGCAAGGGATGAGTAGACCATGCAAACCTCAGCCTACATGACCCTGAGACCAGAAGAACTAGATGATGCCTGGCTATCACTGTCAACCACTTGGAAAGGGATCAGTGTAGGAGATCCTGTATAGACTTGGAGAAAAATGTGGAACAAAACTAAAAATCACTAAAAGACCATGCTTACTGATCTGATAAAGACTGATGAACCCCCCAAGACTATGGCTTTACCCACCCTTCAGGCCTAGAATTGAACCTACTCCTGTAGCTTCCAGCCAAACAATAGACAGGTACATAGGATGCACATTTATACCAGGTAGGTACAGTTCTTAGAACAATCAACTATGGGAGATCAAAAGGCATTATTTGCACAGGGAAATAGCTTAGAGGGCAAGAATGCGTGGGAAAGAAAAGACACAGGGAAAAGGTAACCACAGGGAGAAAGTGGGAAGTGGGCTCTTACATTGTGGGGATTGCAATCAATGTCAAGAAACAAAATGTGTATGAACTATTGTATGGAAAATGAATTTGCTCTGTAAACTTTCACCCAAACGACAATTAAAAATGTGTGTGTTGGGGGTCCCCTTTGGGTTCAGCCATCATACGGCCAAGGATGAGGAGTAGTGCAGTGCAGGAGGCTGGAGGGTGGCAAAGCTAGGACTCAGTCCTGCAGTTTAACCCAGGGAAAGCTGGAGAAGAGAGTGAGATGAGGATGAGGCGCAAAGGCAGTTGGCACGTTGGAGAAGGAGTCAAGTTAAAGGAACAGAGAAGATGGGGAGAGAGGGTCCCACCCCTAAATTGGGGCTGCCATGATGGGAGGAGAGGATAGTGGTGCTGTTGTCCAGACCATGGAGCAAGGGTGAAGGCAGAGTCCAGGGAGGGGAAAGGCAAAGCCAGTTCAACATTAGAGTGTGAGGTGGTCCTGGGGTCCTGTTCACCCACTGTCCTTGTTAATGGGAGTTCAAAGTTAACCAGGGCAGGCAGAAGGAGCTGGGACTTCTTAGAGGCCTCAAACCTCCCAGAGGTGAATGGAGTGGAGCAGGCAGGCTACTGGCACTGGTCTGGCTACCAAGAGAACCCCAAGAGGAAGAAGACAGAAAAACCCCACTATCTGTGGATCAAGCCTCAGTATCCAGATCAAAGCCCCCAGTCAGTAGAGACCCAGATCTTAGCCGGGCCGTAAACAGGCCATAAAATCACCCCAAGTCATTTGAACCTTCCTGCTGCTCTTTTTTTGTCCTTTCTCTAACCCTTGCCAAAGGCCTCTTTGGGCTGGAACTAGGCTTAGATCTGGTGATAGTGACTGAATAAGATTCAAGTCCTGTCTTGAGGATTCATTAACTAGGGGAGAAACCTAGAAAATCTGTGTAATAGTGCCACAAGAGTCAGGTGCTTAGTTCAGCCTAGGTTGAGCCTTAAAGCTTGATCTTGAAGGGCCTGGCAGTGAGGGACTCAGAAAAAAAACAGCATGTACAAAGACAGGAGTTGTAAAACAGAGCTTTGTGTTTAGGGGATCATGTCTTTCAGGATGGCTAGAGTGTAATAATCTGAGGGCATGAGGCAGGAGGTGAAACTAGAAGGTGAGTAGAAGTCACTTCATCAAGGGCAAAGGGCCATTAATGCATGTTCTTGGGCTGAGACTTCGTTGGAGGGCAAAGGTTGGGGTGGGTGCATAGAAGGATTTGAAGCAGAGGTAAGCCGTTCTCTGCACATGTTCTTTTAAAAGTTGCCACTTTTGCAGTGTGGAGAATGGATTGGAGGGGGCAACATATTGCCAGGGAGAATAAGAAGGAGGGTGTTGCCTTGAGCTAGAAGAGCTGTTGGTGATGTTAACATTGGGGATGAGAGTCAGGGGATGGGCTGGAGAACAGTGGTTCCCTAGCTCCATCTGTCATTTGGTCCAGACATCACAGCAACCTGGGAGAGCTTTGTAGAAATTCAGATTCTGCATATTAAATTCTGAAATTCCAATTCTAGCCCTGGAGACTTGCATTCAGTAAGTCAAGGGTAGGACCCAGGAAGTTGGTTTAGAAAACTTCCTAGGAGATTCTCATTGTGCAGCCAGATTGGAACTACCTGCAAGTGGTGAGAGGAGATGGGAGAAAGAGGCCGGAGTGATTTCAAGATTTCTGGGTTGGGCAGTCAGTGAACCCATTGCTGCAGTAGAGAACACATCAGAAAGAGATGAGTTCTGTTTGGAGTGTGTTGGGTTTGAGTTTTCTGGGGCATCCAAGATCCAGCAGTCAGTTGGAAATATGGTTCTGGAGTTCAGTAGAGAGATCTGAAGACAGGGATGTGGGAGTTGACTAGGTCCATAAAGCAGTTGAAGACATGAGTGTGGATGAGATGCCTGGGATAGGAGACAGAAAGAGAAAAGCAGAGAGCCAAGAGTGGAGCTTGGACAATCAATCCCAGCATTTAGGGGGCTGATGGATCAGGGAGATCTTAAGGAAACTCCAGAGGAAGCAGCAGGGAAAGAGGAAAACTGGAGGGTTATGCCCCACCAGCCAA